ATATTTTTTTTAATCTGTCATACATATTGTAGAGCATTTTATTTATTTACCCAATTCTTCTGTTCAGAATTTTCCGTTTTTTTGTAGCTGTGACTTTTGTAAGTATTTTTTGAAGTGTCCCATGGATGATATGCTTAGACAGGCTTCTTCCCTTTCACTGTTTCTCCTGATCAGTAAGTCTTTATTCCACTTTTTATAAGATTTACCTATTTCTTACTTTTTTACGTTGTGCACTGTGTTGTACTTTTTGTGTGGATTGCCAGCCTAATTTTTAAAAATAAACAACATCTCCCCATTGTTGTACTTTCCCTAGCAAACATTTTTAGTATAAAAGAAGGGGGTAAAATAGGCTGTTGACATTCTGGTAATAAGATTGTTGGTAGTGTAAGTGGTTTCTTACAAAAGAACAAAGTCCATTGCCTCCGGTAACACTGAAAAAACAAATCAACAAACCAAGCACAATTGGATTTGTTTCTTTAGCACTTTGAGGGACAAAACTCAGAGCCCCCAAAATAGTGATCCTGGGCAAAGTGATTGATCCTGTGCCTAGTACCATGTAGAGACTTTTTCATTCCTGCAGAGAATCAGAAAGTATGCCCTCTGGTTATAACCCCTATATTTTACCATCTGTTTAGCGCTTAAGAGCCTGGTAGGGTAATGGTTAAACAATATGGCTGCTGACCCAAAGGTCAGGGGTTCAGACCCACCAGTTAACTCCTTAAGAGAAAGATGTGGCATCTGTTTCCATCCAAATTACAGCCTTGGAAACCTGTGTGGGAGAATGCTACTCTATCCGAGAGGGGGACTGTGAGCCAGAATCAGTTCTGCAAGTACCAGTTTAGTTCTTGGTATTAAGAGCTCAAATGAATTCATGAGCTAGGAAGTTGTGCTACAAAGTAGCGAACGACAGAAGTGAAATGAGCAAGAATATAGTGGATAAAAAATTTAGACATTTCAATGACGTGTTAATTTCCATGAAATGTATTGTTTCAAAAATTTAACCTAGCATGAACCAGGAAACTTACAAATTAAAAACAAAAAAACTAAACAATTCTAAAAACCCTGTCTACACATATGGTTCCCATGTCTAGATAGTTTATAGAATGAGGCTTTTTTTTTTAACTTTCAAAGAACATCATTTCTGTGCACCTCCTTTCCCTGTAAAACCCCATAAAGGGGCTCTAGAAAAGGATTCCTCCCGATTCTCAATGTAGCTGTGTCTTCAATGTGACCAACATCATGGCTGTTGGGTCAGTTCCGATTTATACTCACCTATAGGATGCTTAAAGAGCCATAATAAAAATATTTTATCTTTTAATTAGGTATCCTATGGTGAGATGGTGGGATGTGATAATCAAGATGTAAGTATTCAAAGTTTCATATTGCAAAATGCACATGCCCCGGGGGGGTCCTTGTTGCTTACTTATCACTTGAGTGTTTTATATGCATGTCTCTTGGTCCGAGAAAACTGGTTTATAGGTGCACTCATCTATTAATGGCTTTCAAAGGTCAATCACGTTATATTAGTAGGTACTTACTTGGTTCCCAAACTTATTTTGCCTCCTGCCCCCTTATGCGAAAAAAATTACATGGCGCCTCCCTGGCAATTAAGAAAATTTGTACTGTAGCCCATAACCCAGGATAAAGTGTAGGCATACGCTTTGTCGGCAGCCGCCCTAGACCATTCCAGTGCCCTTCCTTCCCTCCCCCCCACCCCACATCCAAGGGGCCAGTATCACCCACGTTTCAAAACACTGTTAAGCATGCTCCTCTCCAAAGTTGGGTAATATTTCTTAGTCTGTTTTCGATTAATTTTATGATTCTCTGTGAAGAGTCTATTTCTCAAATTTAAGATTTATGAAAATGAGTGAGACCACACCACCACCCTCTGCTAAAGGGAACTGTGTTAATCGAATAGAGTAAACACACATGAAAAGAAGAAGCAGGACTTTAAACCACTGTGCTCTTTAAGAAGCTTGATGGTACGATGAAGGGGCCGGTCGAGGAGCTGCTATGACAGCATTTCTTAGCAGTGCTTGTTGCAGATGTCAGCCAGTCAGCCACTTCTGATGATAAAGGAAGCTTGAAATAATTGTTACATCTTTTTTAGGAACCTTACTTTGTTTAGAGATTTGTTTTCCTTTCACGAAATAGAACCTTTTTGTGTTGTAATTTTGATTCCTTTCATACAGCTCCTCCCCCTTTTAGCCCTCTGATAGGATGAAAGGCAGAGCTCTGACTTTAGAGAAGGAGTGATCAGTAACATCAGAACCCTCAGACGAAGAAGACAAGTTTTCATGTGGTCCACCAGTCTGCAGATTGAGGAGGGTTGGTTTGCATTAAGATGAGCATTGAACTTTGCACTAGCCCTGACCTGAGGGTACCGACCGCATGTCCTCATAAGTTCGGGAAACAACCCCCTTCCACTGCCCTCCCTCTCCTGGTCACTTGTGGGCTGAGTGTGATTATTGCAAAACAGCTCTTCCCTGGCCCTTTCCAGAGGCCAACTGTAAGCTGTCTTCCGGGGCATTTCGTGAAAATCAAGGAGACTTCTGTGCACACTAGTAGCTCCCACTCTGATTCCGTTCATTTCCGAGTGTGCTTTTATCTTCAACTCTAGTTACTAGCTCACTACACTTTTAAAAAGCAAACGACGTCGGTACACTCCTTTTATCTTCTGCCTAAGAGGCCCACCTCCCTCCCTTTTGCCCTTGAAGTTCATGAGAATTGTTGCATTAGAGTTCACTTTTAGGATATGGAACTCAAGTATAGAATCTCAGAGTTAGCAAAGACTAAGTCTGTGCCTCCATTTCTTCAGGCAGATGGACTAAGTGAGCTTGTAAATAACCATCTAAATCTGAAAATCCTGTTCCCAGAGCTGTCTTACTAAGTGGACCCTTCTGGCTCTTGGGCATCTTGTTCTGTGTCTTTTAGACTTTAAAGGTGCTAAGAGCGTTTTCTGCACTTGACTTTGCAGTGCCCTATAGAATGGTTCCATTACGGATGTGTCGGCTTGACGGAGGCCCCGAAGGGGAAATGGTACTGCCCGCAGTGCACGGCTGCCATGAAGAGGAGGGGCAGCCGCCACAAATAAGGGGGGCCACACCCCGGGAAAGGAAAAGCTGCAGCTGACATTTTATACAGGACTTGACGAAGAAAGAGGCAAGAAGAAACCGTGCATTTCCCAGGAGCCGCTTAGAGGATTTACAGAGACAATCCTATAAGATCTTGAACTATAAACTTTATGGGTTGTATTTTAATAATGTAAGTAAATTATTTATGCACTCCTCATGTGCTCTAAATATTATTCCAGTTAGCCTTGGATTATTTCAGTGGCCAACATATGCAGACATTTGTACTCCTCAACCATTTTCTCAAAGTTACTGGGCATTCTATATCATTTAGATTTCAAAGAATTCCAACGATGAAGATTTTAAGCAAAGTATTTTATATGCGACAGGTATATTCTACTGCATGTGCTGTACTCCAGAGCTGTTATGTAACACTGTACATACATGGTTGCAAAAGAAAAAAAAAAGTCAGTGCTTCTTTCAAAAGACTTTACGATAATGGTTTTTAAAACACCTTTATAATCTTTGTTTCTTTGTGAAACTCAATTCAGCGGGCTGAAGAAAACGGTTCGTGTAATAAAGTGGGCCGCATCCTCCGCGGTGCCCGATACAGAAGCAGAAATTCCATAGCGAAACAATGCGCGCATTGGTCTGTGTGTGCGTCTCATCCAAATAGAGCGCAGCGGGGCGGGCGGGGTGGGGGCGGGCCCGCTGGGGAAGGTGTGAAAGTGATACATTTTTATACCAAATGTGTTTATTTTTTTGTGCAAGTAATCCTTAAAATTGGAATTGTATTAGGTGTTAAAATAAAGTTTTTAAAAAATTACTTGTATTTATACTTTAATCACAAAAGTGATCCAATTCCAATTAGCTTTCAAGTTTTCCTAATCCAAAAGAAGGACCTAAAAGCATTAGATTCTTTTAAGAACAATGTTTGGAATTTGTGATGTGAAAATAGGGGAAAGACATTTTTCATGTGAGTTTGAAATGCAAATGTATTTCTCCAGGACATCTCTGATTTTCCTTCCAAGTTTGAGGAAAGTGAAAGAAGTCCCATCAGGTACAAAGAAAGAACAGACGTTTTGACCAATTTATCTCAAAGGCCCCTGGATCCGAGCTTCGACCATCCAGCGTTATTTCTGATTCCAGCACATAGTGGTGTGGGGATTCAAATTTTGAATCCCTCTCGGCCATCCTAAATCAGACTGCAGATGTCTACATAGTACTTCTGAGGTTTTCGTCTGTAGATGCTTTTTTTACATGATAAATTTAGCATAGTGGAGGTTTTATTTCAGTTAAATACTGAGTCCTGGTTGGTAGAAAGCTGTTTAAATAAATATTACATCATACTTCTTATGTATTAAAATGTTTTGGGTCTGCCAGATTTCTGCTTTAGGACCACTTGTGAGCCTCTGAACTTGTTCAGAAAGCAGTTTTAAATCTATGCAATGCTACCCACAAGGGTATGGATTAAAATGGGTGATTTCCAAGGTCTCTTTTTGCTTTGAAATCCCATGATTCTGAGCCGCTGCAGTCTGATCGTATCACCATCTCAGACCATCAGTGAGGTTCATCAGCGGGTCCATGAAAACTCAGTATTTTCACAGGAGTTTTACAGACTTTTAAGAAGTAATATATACAGTTAGCTTACGCGCATGTTGCTTGGAGATGCCGAGAGTTCCATTTTCTCCCCTATCTTTTCAAATGTATAGGAAATGCTCAAAGAAAACAGCCTTACATACAGCCTTACTTTTAGAACAAGCCCTCGTCTGAGTGAGGAGCATGCCTGTTTCAGCTGCTACCCAGCCCGTGCAGTGGGAACCCTCTGACCAAACCCTCCCACCCTGCGTATCCATAGCTGACGCTGGGTGCCAAGTAAAACAGCATTGTGTGCAGTTACTGAGTGATGTGTGGGGCCTGCTCATACTGGAAGAGAGATAATCAGTCAAATATGGAACTACCTCATCCACAAAACAAAAAAACGTGGCCAACGTCTAATGTTCTTTGTTACATTAACACCAAGAGGTATGATGAGTGTTCTGAGTATTGATAAAGTACACATTTGAAATCTTTTGTTGTATGAAGTTCATGTAACAATTGGTGACACAAAAAACCCCACGCGGGTTCACAATTTCTAGGTGGTGAAAATCGAGGCCTTAACTGCTGTCGAGTGTATTAAAATGTTCGTGGTGACACATTTAAAGCAATAAATGGCTTAATTAAATGCCTAAATGATGCCGAGTGTTTGATAAATATTCAGTCATTCTTTCCAAAGGCAGTTAATCATTTTGCTCTCTTTGAGAGCAAATGCCACATAGTTTAACTGTTTTAACTTCGGGGTTTTGTAATATTGGTGCCCTTTGTCCTTTGACCTTCGAAGTGGTCATTTGGATCTTATTAATTAATCTTAGACAACTGAGAGCTTAATAAATTGGGACTGTAAAGGATATGAAACTAGATATTGCAGTGTTTTTCTTTGTTTTTTACTGTTTGCGTAGCCTCCAAAACGTGTGTTGTACAAGTAGCACCTAGATGTTGGAAGTACACCGATGAAGGCCTTGGGGGGTAGGGGGGAGTGTGAGGACTGGTAAATGCTTAATAACAAGTGAACTTTCAAAACTCACGGCCATTGAGGTGATTCTGACACACAACAGCCCTATAGGACAGAGCAGAGCTGTGGGGTGAGTTTGAGGTGACTAAATCTACAGGAGTGGGAAGCTTCACCTTTGGCGGCTTTACAGCAGCCTAATGAATAAACCCCCTATGCCACCCAGCCACCATGGCTCCAAGCACTTTGGAAATGCCGGGTGTGGATTAATTAGCAATAGTTAACAAGACTTGCCAAACGCAATCATTGGGGCTGAGTTTGAAAGACAGGTAAAGTAGGGAAGCTTTTCCAAAAAGAGTGGATTCAAGAGCCATGTGCATTCTGGGAACTTCACAGCCGACAGTATTAAGTAGCGATTGTTTTAGGCTCCTGTAGTGTCAGGGAAAGAAGTCGGAATCTGGACAAGCATCTAATCAAGAACATTCTGCACTGTGCCGTGGAATTGCTAATGGAAGGCATGACATTGTACATGGTTGGTTAAATGTGATTTAGCAGTTAAATAGCCCTTCTGCTGTTAAGACTATATTGTTGACAAGATTGGGATAGAAATCGCTTTTACATTTTTAAGTTTTTCCCCAAATTCTTGCAACCAGGTGTTTGCTAGTCAAAATTTTTAATTTATGTCTTTGGAGTAGGAAATCTAAATGACTGACCCAGATGGTCATTTCTTACCTGTTTTTCATTGTCACTGCCCTTAATAGTCATGGTTGAATTCTGCTCCCGAGAAACCTTCATGACTCGTCGTCTTCCCTTAGACTCCCTAGATGGGTTCTCCAATGCGTCTGGCTTCCCTCCCGAGTGGTGGTTGGGCCACCGTGTGTCTCAAATGCCATGTCCTTTTCTTTCTAGGGATGTCCTTAGACCTCTCTTCCCTACTCAGTGCCAGTTGGTAGGTGCCTTCCAATCGGCTCTGACCCACAGCAGAACATTGCACCATCCTCACGATTGGATCTGTGCCTGCGCCCACGGATGTGGCCGCTGTCATTCCATCTCCTTGGGGGCCTTCCTCTTTTTGCTGCCCTTCCATTTGATCAAATAGCATGTCTTCCCCTGGGGACTGGTCTCTTCTGACAATATGTCCAAAGCACGAGAGATGAAGTCTTGCCATCCTTGCCTCTGAGGAGCACTCTGGTCTTTTGTTTTATTATTATTAGTTGGAATTTAATACACATGAGGGGGTTTCAAAACCACCTTATCTCCTTCAAACTACTCTCCGTTATATGTTTGTCAGATCTGCGATTCCATTCTTGCTCACCTAGCAGGAAAAATGAAAGCTCCGCTAGGCGGAGCTATATTTTTTTGGGGGTGGTGGTGGTGTTATCCCCTTGTATATTTCATATTTCAATCACATCAAGTGGAATTGTACAATTGCTACCACAGTCAGTTTCCAAGCACTATTTTTCTACATCGTCTCCTTTTTACCCCACCACCACCACTGTACACCCCCCACCCAATCCCCTCATTCTACTGGCTGTCCCTCTAGGCTCATCAATGCTGGGTTGCATAGACCAAACCACAGAAAAGCATATAACACAGCTTCAAGAGGGTGACCTCCAATAGCAACCTCTCAGATACTCTAATATGAAAAACAAATGCACGAGTATCGAGCAGGGCCATGATGTAAGAACTCAGTGTGAGCCCACACCCATTCCTGGATCTATACTTTTTTTTTTTTAATTGCTGTAACTTGGGAGTTAATACATATGTCATATCATTCTATAGTTCAATCATGTCAAAAGAATTGTACAGTTGCTTCCAGAATCAGTCTCCAAACGTGCTTTTCCTCCCTGGACGCCTTAACATCATCTCCCTTTTATCTCCCCCCACCTTCCCATGTGCCTCCTCCCCCTGAAACCCTTGTTATATTTGCTTCCCCTATAGACTCACTGGCCCTGAGTTTCACTTACAGAAAAACAACACAACTTCAAGAGGGTGACCCCCAATGGCGACGCATCCCTGTGTTACACCGTAATATGAACAAGCATAAGCAAAATCAAACAGAATGTCCGTCACAAGATTACCAGAATAATACATACCTTAATACAAATATATGGTGCATCACCAACCAGCAGCACACCTCTCAGTACAGCTGTCTTCTGCTTCCTCAGACACCATCTATTTTGTGGTTTAAGTTCTCAGGATACAAGTGTGCCTGGGGTAGAGTCCACTGTCCTGCATGGAGTCTCAGCGATACAGCCTCTGGAGCATGCGGTGAAAATCCAGGATTCAGTGTCCCAGCATTCCCTGGCCCCCACACCTGGATTCCCGGGATACCTCCAGATGTCCTCTTTCAGTGTTGCCCACCTGCTGCATGCCGCTAAAGCCACTCCCCACCTAATGTCCCCCAAAGCATCATCTGTCACTCCTCCCCCAACTGAAGTTCAGCCCGCCCTCCCTTTTCCCCTCAATAGACATGCCCCTATTCCTATGTTCCCCCAAACATGACTCTTCCCTCTCCCCTCTCCTGCTCTGCCCCTACCATCAGGAAGCCTCATACCTCCCACAGGGCTGCCTCCCTCTCTGGGGGACCTCACCCCAGATTCACAAGACTGCCACTCAGCAGACAGCATCCCCTCACCTCCCTGGACCATTTGATCCCCTCTGTCGTGAGGTGTGACCTTTGAATACAGATCAGTTTGTCCTTTTAGCAGTTCATGGTACTTTCAATTTCAGATAGGTGAACCCGTGTGACAGAACTCTGGCTGGCCAGTGAAATGTAAGCCAAGTGACCGACAATTTGAAGCACGGCCCCTAAGAGACCATGCTATGATTTCTCTCACCCGTCTGTCCCTGGTGCAGGCTGAGGAGCCCGTTAGGGGTATCCAAAGATATCTCCTGTGCTTGCATCCCGTCGGCCCCTGGAGGCTTGCATGTTGTTAGGATGTTGAATAGCTTTCAACAGAGCTTCCAGACTAAACTGGAAAGAGAAAGTTTTGGCAATGACTTTCAAAATTCAGCCCCTGAAACACCAATGAATTACAAAGGTTTGCTTGCCAACCAATCACTGGGCCAGGGCAGCCAGGGCTGACTTGACCAGTATGGGAAGTCAGGGTTCCCAGAGGACCCTGGGGGCCAAATTCAGAATAGAAACCGGTAACAGTGGAAAGTAATGTAAGCGAGAAATCTCTCTTTATAGCAAGTCACTGATACTTTGATGCCTTACACTACCCTGTCCACCGTATCAAAGTGTTTGTTACCTTAAGCCACTTACAATATGTCTTGTATCTCTATTTGTCCCAGGTGATGTTTCTGAACAGTAGAGATTCAATATATGATTCATGATTTAACACGGCCATCCTGCATTCAGAGCTTATAGGATCGTTCTTGTGTTAGCAAGAGGTAGGTGCTAGGACTAGCCCAGGGGCTGCTGCCCACAAGGCTGCTCCCACAGGACTTAAGTCTCGTCTCTATCAAAGCTGGATGTTCAAGAATCAGGCCTCAGGTGCTTTCTTGGAAGAGAGGCTGTCCCCTGTAGGAAGCCAAGAAGGTCCCGAATCTGGAAGACTTCTACAGAGGGAGAAGCCAGATCAAAAGGTTTCCCCTAAAGCCTGGCAGTTTGGAGCCTGGGGTGGGGGGCTTACAGATATTCCTGGGGTGACTGAGCTCCCCATTGTATGAGAAAGCTGATATTCAGAGAGGCACATTATTTTCCTTAAATGCTTAATCTAACACTGAAATTTTACATGAAGCTGAAGTGAATTTTTCAAAGAACTCTCCATAAAATGACTATTTGCAGCCTCTCCACCACTCCCCCATACCAAACACCAAAATGAAAAAATATGTTATGGGAAAGTATAGTTTGTGTCGGAGAGGTTTACAGGGAGGATTTTTTTCGGCTGTTTCATCCAACCTTGAAATGATGATAGGATTCTGAAAAGCTTACCAATCTATTGTCCCAGGTGAATGCTGTCTAAATATACACTCTTGAGCACTGAAAAAATCTTTGCAGAAGGAGTTCTTCATGACACTATATGCACAGAAGTATGCAGTCTGAACACAGTCAGAACCTACATGTTGATAAAAACCAAACCAAACTCGCTGCCTGAGAGTCCATCGGTGACACATAGTGACCCTACAGGACAGGGCAGAACTGCCCTCTGTCAGTTTCTGAGACTGTAACTCTTTATGGGAGTAGAAAACCTCATCTTTCTCCAAAGGAGCGGTTGATGGTTTCAAACTGCTGACCCTGAGGTTAGTTCAACACCTAACCATTTGTCCCCCACCCTACCTCCTCACGGAACCAACATATTCGGTCTGTTTGATGGGTTGTTCAAGGTCCTGAGAGCCTTAACGCAGGTTTCTACATAGGCTTCATTCCGATGGGTCTAACCTACTACTCAGGCATGTCGCCCATCCCCATCTTCGCGACGCAATCCTGGCATTCTTCCCCAAAGCCCTTGACATCTGGAAACCAGCTCTGCCTTTCACCTTCACCTCAGAACACCAAGGGCAGAGAACCCCTTGCAGTAGTCCTATTTGCTGCTGGTCTTGTGGCCCGCGAGGTCCGTTATTTGACGAGTCACCTGTCTCGTGCCCGTCAGCCGGCTCTGTGTGGCGTGAGCGCAGTATCAGTCTCCGAAACAGCACGGGCAGTGAATGTTCCAGAACACCCAGGTGCTTCCCACGCATCTTCCCATCCAGGCATGCCAACAGCACTTCCAAGGCGGCGTTAGAATCCTCATCTCACCAAGGAAACCCGGCGAGGCTTAAAGGACTCAAGTCACTTGTCTAAGACCAAGCTTATAAGACCGCGCCCCATGGTGCACAGACAGGCGCGATTCATTCTAAAATCAGAGGTGGTCTCTGGGCCCACTCCGTGTTCATTTCTGCGCTGCATTTGTTCTGTTCCAGATCTTCCGCTCAGCCTCACGCGGATTCTCTCTCCCGCTCTCTTCTCCCACTCCTTCGGGCTCAGTCGTTACGGTGGGACCATGGAGTCTTCCATCTGCCAGCGTCATATCTGCGAGACTAATTTTCCGCTATCGTACTGGTTCCTGTTATTTAGAGCCTCGTTATAGCAACTCCTTGAAATAGCGGTGCTGGTTTGTCTTTGAATTCTCCCAACAACTTGGATTTCTGCATCTGGTTTATTTTCTTCTGTACTCCTGTACTCCACAAGTTAGCCTTGCATAAAACGATCTTTTAGATTTTCCCAGACCCTCTTGGAAATGAAACCACGAGCCCTTTTACAAATGTTGTGAATAGTTTTGTCCTTTAAGCCAGGACCAAGCTCTGGTTTGGACGCCCATGTCTCTGAGTCTATAACAATGAGACACCCCTAGGGGGTGCTGTGCCTCACAAAATGTAAATGGCTGACAACCCGCCAAAGGCCTGGCTCCTTCCAGAGGTGGGGCCTGAAAAAGTTCTTTTCCCACAAGAAGGAGTTTGGCTTAGAAAAGGAAGACCTATTTCGTTTCATGCCTTTGCAGAAGGTCTTTTCTGAGTCTGAACCAGCCCTGAGCACCCAGAGTTCACAAAGGAGGGGGAGTGGGGGTGAGTGACACACTACCTACACACTACCTCTCTCCCAGGACTCCCTTGAACCTATTCTGAAAAGTGGATGGAGTTTGCAGAACTGCCCTAGAGGTCCCTTGTAGGACTCTTTCTAGAATTTAACTGACTTCTGCACAAAGCCAACGGATGAAACAATAAATACACTTTAGGGACGAAAAGCTGGCTGTGCAGTCAGTTCTACCCGGTCCTACAGGTGTGAGACCCACCGGGTTTTCTAGGCCGTAAGCGCCGGGAATGTTCTAAGTACCGTGGGCTGCCCGAAAGAACCAAACAAGTCTGTCTTGGATGAAGTACAGCCAGAACGCGCCTTAGAGGCAAGATGTGAGGCTGTCTCAGCCACTTTGGACGTGCTGTCAGGAGAGATCCGTTCCTGAGAAGGACAACAGGCCTGGTGAAGGAGAGGGACCGAGGACAGAGGCGGACCCTCGAGGAGATGGAGCGACACTGGCCGCAGCAGTGGGCTCTGACATCAGAACAACGGTGGGGATGGCACAGGGCCGGGCAGGGTTCTGTTCTGTGGTGCCAGGGTCACTACGGATGGGAACTGACTGGATGGTCCCTAACTACAACAATCCTTGTGGGAGCAGACTGCCCCTGCTTCCTCCTGGGAAGTTTCTGCATGGGTTTGAACAACCAACTTTCTGGTTAGACTCCTTTGACAGAGTGACCTCACTCACTCACTCTCTCACACATTCACACTGTCCTTCCCTCCCTCCCTCTCTCCCTCCCTCTCTCTCTACCTCCCTCACTGCCATCCAGTCAATACTGACTCATAGCAACCCTGATTCATAGACCTGCCTCTGTAACTCTTTTCTCAGGTAGAAGGCCCTGTCTTTCTCCTGAGGAGCAGCTGGTGGTTTCAAACTGCTGACCTTGTAATCCACAACCAGCCGTAGAAAAAACGAGTCATCGGTATAGGGAAATAATAATAAAATTTCAAATAATACCTCAGAGCCTTCAATAACCCTTCTAAGGAAGGCCCTTCAAGCACCCATGTGACAGAGGGGGACGCCCATAGGATTTACCGGGCTGTAATCTTCGCAGCAGGAGCCCTGGTGGTGTAGTGGTTGCACTTTGGGCTTCGAACTGCCATGTCAGCAGTTCGAAACCACCAGCGGCTTCATGGGAGAAAGACTGGGCTTTCTACCCCTGTAAACGCTTACAGTCTCGGATGAGTGGGCCGTGACTTGGTGGTCGTGAGAATCTTTGTGGCAGCACGTCCGCCCACAGGAAGAACAATAACGACGGAATCACCGGCATCGTATCATCTTATATGCGAGCTCGCTTTCCAAGCAGGGGCATTTTGTGTTCTTTACCCCTTTGCTTACCAGAAGGTTTCCAACACCCGAGCCAGGACCAGACACCCCACACGAGGCCTCTCCTGCCCAGAAGGGTAACCTCAATTCCCCAGGGAAAAGACTGCACCCTTTCAGTCTCACCCTCTAGCTTTGCCTTGAATTCACCAAGGGCGGTTTGTTTCTCCAAGGTTGCCTTTGGGGCAGGGGGATGATCAAGGCGCTCCGACTGCCACCCGGGATGAAAAGGTGAGCGGCCCAGGGTGGGCAGCCACGTTTCAGGGGCAACGAGAACGAACGCAGTCTCCCATGAGCGGAACCCCACCATTCCTGGGCCAACCCCACCAGTCCTCAGCGGCCCGAGCTCCGCCCCCGCCGG